AAACGAGTTTGGACCCAATTGCAAAATGGGAAAACATGCAGGGACCAAGACGTAATTCACGTCATCATCTTCACAAACGGCAAACTTTTTCGATTGAAAATAGTTTGCCACCGCCGCACATCAAACCTAGTAAAATCAGCGTCGTCGCCGACCTTGCCACAGCTCGATGCAAGTCACACGGTGACTGAAAGACTACGAACAGCTTTGCCTTTTTCTTTGGGGTTACAAAGAAATTGACATATAAGTATGGCGATACATTCAAGTACCAGGTGATAAGTTGCGACTCGAGTCGAAAACCGTATTATGAAAAGACAAGCAAAATGATAAATTGGCCTGCAAGGGTGCATGCAAGTCTTAAAGGAACCGAAATGTGGGTGGTTACAGAAGTCGATGGAGATCATAATCACGAGTTAATCCTTCAATGTCACAGGAAATACCTTGTAGTATGAAAAGAGTGCTGAAGGCAAACTGGATGAACTAAGTTGTTTGCCAAAAGATTGCAAAAATTACATAGAGAAAAGGAGGAGGGAAAGTATACAAGACAGGACGCAGAAGAAAAACATAGATTTTTCGTCCATTTGCAAACGAAAAATACTAATTTCTTTTATCTGATGAAAGTTGATCCCGATGACAAGCTTGCAAATGTCTTTTGGATGCATCCACATGGTATAGCCGCATACCAAGAGTAGTTACTTTTGACACAATATACCTTGTAAATAGATATAGAATGCCGTTTGCTACAATTGATGGAATAAGTCACCACAAACTATCCATTTTGTTAAGATGTGCTCTTATAGCACATGAAGACACAATAACTTTCAAGTGGAAGTTTGAAACATAGCTTGAAGCAATGGGTATGATTTATCCCATGGCTATTACGACAGATCAGTGTGAGAGCATAAGGAAAGTTGTTAGAGAAGTTTTTCCTAACACAGCGCACCCATACTAAATTTAGTCATAATCATCTTGTTTATTGGTATAATAAAATCTAACATAATAGCATAGGCATGCTACCAATTTACCTTGCAGGTTTTGTTTGTGGCATATGTTTTTACAAGTTCGCTAAGAAGTTAAAAGGTGTCAGTGATCATGGCAATAGTGTGACTGTATTTAAAGCACCTGTATTCAAGAGCTTTAGCATAGAAATGTTTGAAAGAAGATGGTCGAATTTTCTGACTGAGTATAGGCTACAAGGAAATGAGTGGCTTTTGAAGTTGTATTTTGAGAAGCAAGAATGGGTGCCAATGTATTTGAATAATTAGTTTTGGGTTGGAACTATATAGATAAGCGAGGTTATGCATGCATATTCTAATGGATATATTAATTCAAGGAGCACACTAAAACAATTTGTAGAGCAATAAGAGATTGCTATATGTGACAAGATAGAGAAGAAATTCCAAGAGGAGCACAATTCAATGTATAAGGTAATTAAATGTCAGCCGAGTATATGTTTAAGAAGCAATTCCAAAAAGTCTTCACTAACAAAGAGTTTAAGAAAGTACAAAAACAGATAGATGACATGATTTACTGATATACTGCCACATTATTCATCCTATAACGGTGGAATCCCGATAAGCCAACAATGAACTAGACATGACAGCTTACAAGGTGATGGAGAGGAACATAATTCAAGATAACTTTCTAGTAATGGATGATGATGATTGTGATGACCTAGAAGCCCAAAAGATGCTTGTGCAGAACACAATTGCCACTGGAAAAATAGAATATGTTAACAAAAATGAAAGCGTTGTAAGTGATCCTCATGTAGTTCGTGGGAGGGGCACACTCGGGTCAGATAGGTACAAGACTTGAGGTTAATTAGAACTATTGTTGATTGATGAATAGAAGAATTAGGATTATTGTTAATTAATCAATAATATATTTTTATAAAGCATTAATTATGGATACATAAAACATGAAAATACCACTATTAGTGATATAATATATATTTTTAGAAAATACCATTATTATTGATATAATATAAAATACCACTACGATTATTTTATTACACACTTTAACTTATAAAATTAGATCAATTGAGCACTTATTAAAAAGTTAAAATTTATGAAAATTATTATTCCAAAAGTCATGCTAACTACATATTAAGTCAATATTTTACAGATAAAAATAAAAATCCTAAAAATTATTCATTATTCCCAAAAGTTAAAATTTATGAAAATTATTATTCCAAAAGTCATGCTAACTACATATTAAGTCAATATTTTACAGATAAAAATAAAAATCCTAAAAATTATTGATATCAATGTCAAAAGGTGTGTAATGTTACTAAAATTTAAAAGTTCAAGTATATAATAGGTCATTCACAAAGTTTAAGGTGCCAAAAAGCTAAAATTATAAAGTTCATGGGTAAATTTATGTATTATGCCATTTGAAATAAGATTAAATTTGGTGTCACAACTTATCAAATTTTCTATCTTACTGTCTTAATAGAAAATATTTGCAATCACATGTTTAAACTGTTAAAAAATTTGTCTCCAACTAACATGGCTAGCCAAATTTACAAATAGGAAATGTGGTGTCAAGTCACGATGGAAAGTATGCTGATATGAAAAATTTGCTGAGATGTCAACTGATGATTTGTCAAATTAGTCTCAAGCAAATCAACAGCTTTGCCAAAGCAAATGCGCCCTCTCTCACTTTATCCACCACCGTTGTGGCTTCACCTCTCCTCCAAACCCTAAAACTACGCACCATCGTTGTCGCTTCATCTCTTCTCCAAACTTCAAAAAATTTCATCAAGAAGCCATAGGAGATTCGATCCTAGGTTCATGGAAAGTTACAATTTTGGTATAGTATAAATAGATTGTATTGGGCCTTTAAAGTTCTTACTTGTTTTTCCCTTTTTTTTTTTGGGCAAAATTTGAATTTTTATGTGTAGTTAGAATTTTGTTGCCATCCTTCTAGGTTCTTTCTTGATAAACTTGAGACTAAACCATTTGAAATTGTCCTATTTCGTTGAAAATTGATTTATTTATTTACTTAAAGTTATGGTTTTCGGATAAGGAACTATTGGGTTGAAGAGGATGAGTCTACTAAATGCAATTAGTTTCAAATCTTAAAGTTTTTACACCATATTATATCAAGATTAAGAAATGAGTTTTTGAATTAGGATAGTAGTGATCTTGTTGATGATGGTGATGGAGAAGGATCAATCAAGATTAAGAAATGAGTTTTTGAATTAGGATAGTAGTGATCTTGTTGATGATGGTGATGGAGAAGGATCAAAGTATTTTGATAAAAGGTTTAACATAGTTGATAATGAAGAAGGGTGGTGGGTTTGGCGGTGCTGGCGGCGGCTTAGTAATGGCACCAACATAAGTTAATGTATTATTATTGTTGTTCAACAAACTACAAAAACAAAGCATAAGGTAGCAATAGTAATGATAAACACAACTTTTTAATTGATGGCGGCAGAGAAAGAAAACGATTTTGAGTTTGTGTTTACTTTTGTTTTTTTTTTTTTTTTGCTGCAAATATCAAAATTAGATTTTTTTTTTCTTTTTTTTTTTTTTTTTTTTTTTTTGTTCATTTTTTTTTTTTTTTTTTTTTTTGTTCAAGAGAGGGAAGAGACAAGGGAAAATAGAGATGAGTTTTGTTATATGGGTTAACATATGAATCTGACGTTGCATACCCACTTAAAATATAATTAGCATATTTCAAAATATCAAGTTGGCTCCATATTTCTTATTTATAATTTCAGTAAGTCATGTAAACCGGATACACTTTATTGAAAATTTTTTAACGGTTTAAACACTTAATTGCAAATGTTTTTCGTTGAGATATCAAAATAAAAAATTTTGATAAATTGAGACATCAAATATATAATTAACCCTTTGAAATAAAATCAAACTCAAAATGCGTGTTAATGTCCTTTAAAAGAAAACAACACAAATCTAATTTTAAATAATAATATATTCTTATGTGGATAAGTCAAGCTAGCAACGTATATACTTCAAAAGTGAAAAGAGATATTATTTCCTTATTTTTTATTTTAAAAATGAATAATCCAATACAAAATGCAAAATATACAATGGATTTACATTTAAGCATATGTTGTTAGAAATAATAGATACAAAATATGAAAAAATAGAAAAAATTCTTTAATAGTGTGTTTAATATCCTTAAAGAATTAAAAGTCCCCACTATAATTGAATTGCGGATATAATAGCAGTATTTCTCTAGAGAAAACATGATCATATGAGTTTAAGAGCTAGGACTTTTATAACGATAAGGAAACCTTGAACAGATGTAAATTCTGTATTCAACGGACATTTAGCAGTTTATTAATTTCAAAATTAATAACGGTTTTCATAACTGTTAAAAACAATTACTTGTACTATTTAAATAATTAATTTCAAAATTTATTAAATAATAATAATAATGATAATAATAATAATAATAATAATAATAACAATAATAAGTTTGCATAAAAAATAAATTACTTGATTTATTTTAGGTGACTATAAATATACTTAAAAATTTCTTTTGACTATAAAATATTTAAAATTTCTATAGTCAAATTTTGATTTCCTCCATATTTCCCACCATCTATTTTGTTCAAATAGATATACTAATACTAGGTGTCTATAAACACTAATTTACTTTTGTATCTTTTCCATGTGGGATAGAAACTCATATAATCCACTAACATATGTTATAAAATCGGACTGTATAAGAAAAAAATAATAGATATCATATATTAACTTTTGAATTTATTATCAAACCATATATAAAAAATTATTAGAGTAAAGACTTCCTTGATTCATTCTGTCGTTTTGAGTTCATAATAAGGTTAGTATGCTTATTCAATTAGTTACAACTACTAGCAATTGTTATAAACAAATTTGAATAGAATCAAGGTTGTTGTCAAATCAAATTGGATCTAACCATCTTGGTTTGTATGGTTTTAATTATGAAAATTTTTGAAAAACATGACTTTCATTTTAATCTTAATGTTCTAGAACATCTCAAAGCATCGATACCTGAATGACTAAGATCCTTAAATGTTTGACATTAATTTTGAAAAACTTCATCTCAGATGTTATTACAAGTAATATCATTGCACAATATACTTTCTACACTAAGATCCTTCAATCTGGAAAGAGAGAAAAACAGAGATCCCAATGGGAAACTAATTGTGTTGGTTTAAGCTCCAAACCCCAACATTTTTGTTTGAAAAAACCTGTGAGCGGTGAGATAAGTTTATAGGCTATACAACACACAAACGCATTTTATTTATAACACAAGTTTACAATACACACAACAGGAAAGTGGGAGAAAATCTTATATACTCAAACCAACTAAGCTCAGTATCCTCAGCGAATACTGTGGATACCATGGAGAAAATCATATTGGTATAGCCTTATCTGGCTCTCGCAAATGACTCCTTCATCAGAACGTGTGCGATTAAGTGCATGAGAGAAGGCAGATCTCACAACACCAGCAAGATCAGCCCCACTCCAACCATCTGTCATGTAAGCTGCATAGAAAACCAAAACAGGGTTCAAGGAGCAACAAGTTAGTACTGATCTTATTATATATATACACACACAACATTCTATTTTGTCCAAGACTTGAAACAAACTGAAAATTACCAAATAAATCACCACTGCGTTGTTCTTATTTCCAATAATTTCAGAGATGTATTATTTGTTCCAAATCTAAAAGGAAAAAATTACCATACCAAGTTGAAAGATTATGCAACTCTTGTCAAAAACAGGTTTTAGACGTATAATTACTCACCTATCTCTTCAAGGTTTACATCTGGTTGGAAGTAACCCCTTTGCTCCAAAGTATTAGCATGCACCTTTAATATGTTGAAACGAGCTTCCTCATCAGGAAGGTCTACTTTAATGTGGAGTTCAAGCCTTCCAGGTCTGTGTGACAAAACTTAAGTTTCAATAAAGTACAATTTACTTTTACATCTGGTTGGATGTAACCCCTTTGCTCCAAAGTATTAGCATGCACCTTTAATATGTTGAGACGAGCTTCCTCATCAGGAAGGTCTACTTTAATGTGGAGTTCAAGCCTTCCAGGTCTGTGTGACAAAACTTAAGTTTCAATAAAGTACAATTTACTGAAAATATAGAAGAAAACATTTATAATCCCACAATGATGTAGAAAGAAGGCAAAGGCAAACTTAAAGTTGTCAAACTCGCTTTTTCAATTACATTTGTCGGACAGTCCACAAAATTGAAAGATTTTGCAAACAGCATAAAATAAAATACTACAAAACATTCATAACAAGTCGAATGACAAAAAAAATTGACACATAACAAGTCAAGAATTTCTTTATATATACACATATACGAACAAACATACAACATATATATTGAACAGCCTAAATTTTTGAACAATAATTGTTGACTTTGTTGATTTGGAGTATCCTTGTATAGGCTATTTTACACATATACGAACAAACATACAACATATATATTGAACAGCCTAAATTTTTGAACAATAATTGTTGACTTTGTTGATTTGGAGTATCCTTGTATAGGCTATTTAGGAGCGTATATTTCTCTTTCCTTATTCGTTCTTTTCCTATTTAGGATTTGATACTTCTGTATAAATAGGATGTATAGGATCTCATTAAAATATAAGAAATACATAACAAATTTTTCCCAAACCTGTTCTTAAAATCAACATGGTATCAGAGCCAAAACCAAACTCTTTTGGCCTTTTTTGAACCAAAACCAAACCAGATCAGAAATCGTATAGGCAGAAGGGTACCAGAACTTTTTTCAAGATTGGTAGGTTTCTGGGTGGAGTTGAAGTACACTGCCACCCCTAAAAGAAAGCCCAGCCGCGGGCGACCCAAACCCTAAAATCTGGTAGCCGTGCGACAAAGCGCATGAGCTCACGCGCCGATTGAATGTCCGGCGCATGGAGGCGCCAGCGTGAAGCCACCTTCCAGCATCCTCTCTCGGCGGGACCTACTCCGGCAAGTTCGTCCACTTCCGGTGAATTCATTCCTATCCAGTACAGCCTAATTAGTGACCATTTTCTATGCTTCGGCTATTTCAAAATCGTTTTTTTCTACTGTTCTTTGGGTTTTTATCTGTCCCTGCACTGTTGTGTTCTCTCATCCTAGTAATTATCTAATTTCAATAAATCATGGGTGATTGATTTAAAACCACGGAAACATGTTGGAAATTACTTCGACGACCGATTAGAGGTCGTGAGAGTAAAAGCATTGGTCGTGGTGGTAAAAGGATCGGTTCGACTAGACTTGTTGCACACCTACCTAAACATCTTCTGCTAGGAATTTTTCTATTGAGGAGGTACAATTGTTACAGCTTTTTGTCAAACCTTCACTCTTCATCCACCACAGCTACTTCTAATTTTGTGTAATCTGGTATGGCCCTTCTTACTAATTCTATTGATGATTCATGGGTTATAGATTCAAGAACAAACAAACATATGACAGACTCTTTTCATAAATGTTTAACCTATTCATCTTGTACTGGCAAAAAAACTGTTCGCATTGCTGATGGTTCTTTCGCACCTATTTCTGGCACAAGTTCTGTTAAGTGCATATCCACTAGTGATATAGCTTCTGTACCTGTTTCGCGTATTTGCTTGAATGGTTCTTTTTCGCACCTATTTCCTGGCACAGGTTTCTGTTAAGTGCATAGAATCCACTTTTAAGTTTGGATAATAAAGTTTCTGTTTCCTTCATATCACTAGGAATTTGGTTCCTATATAAGATTTTGCTTCCCCTTAATTACAATTTTCCCTTTTAAGCTGAACCCTTATCGTGGGGAATTATGTTTTCGACTCAAAATCCAAAGGAAAGCCTTGCGACACCCCTTTTGGGAACCCTTGTTTAGAGGAGAAGCCCCTCAATACTCAAGTTTTGGAATTGATACCTCTTTGGAAATTATAAAAAGGAAAGTTTTGTTCCCCTAGTTTAGGAATAAGACTAACTAAAATCTAGGAGTTCCTATACAATTAAGAATCCTATAATTTTATTGAATCCTTTAAGGCTAATAAACTAAACCTAATTAATTTTCCCCATAATTTATATCTGTGATGTTATTGAAATGGATTTTAGTTTGGTTGCAAACGTTATCAAAATTTCCAACCAAAACAGCTCTTTTCAACTGGTTAGGCGCTCAAACACAACTTCCTTTCACAATCCGTAAACATAATTCCCCTTGGCTATTTTCCTCCATTTCTGCCTTTGTTAAAATTTTAATAAAGGGAGAAGGAAAAGGCCCGCTGTTGGAGGTGAGCCAGGAGCTGCGGCTAGCCGTTGGGGATTGCAATGGTTTTTGTGAATCGGAGTTTTGTTGGACTTGGTGGACAGGAAAAGAGATGGTTACCATTTGGTGGTGCGGCAACTGGACGGCAGTTGTTGCCTTTCTTTTCTTTCAAAAGCCCTAGCCAGGCCTCAATGGGTGCCAAGGGTGGGCTGGGAGATTTGGCCGATCTCAAACCTCTAATTGAAATATAGTCCCATTAAGGCCCAACCCGTGAAATAAAATCCAGCCGTTTTGGAATCACGATTGCCCCCCGAATTTGCGGCAGCCAGCCAAGGCCCTGGAACCTGACCAATTGATACTCCCCCTCTTACTGTCCCTGTTTTTGCTTTAAATTGACTTGTCCCGAGCAAGATTGCTTTTTTGCAAGGGTGGGGCCCAAATTTCTGCAGAGTTTTAACAATTATTAATTTGAAATAATTTTTGGGTTTTCCCACATGAAGGGTTTCTGGGTTCTTTCCCCCTTGCTGCAAACTTGTAATACCCATAGGGCCCTTCTCGCCCAACATGTGGAGAGGCAGCTGGCTTGAAATCAAGTCCTGCTGCAGTTTTTGTTTGATTAGCCTTAAAAACTTTTCACCATACTGTTTTGCAAAACAGATTAAAAGGGGTTTCCATTTTATTTGCATCACATGTAGGGAAAAATCGAGCTTCAGTATAAAACGCAGCACCAAATTCCCGCTGCTTATTGATCCACCACCAGTTTTCACTATGGCTTATCGTTCGTGGTCGCTGCCTATTCCTCCCACACAAAGCCTTGTTTCTGGCCTATAACTGTTGTGCCCCACATTATTTCCCCTCAGGTTGGCCCCCCTTGCCCATGCAACTTTTTGTTGGGTTAAAGAAGCAAGGAGAGTTTTTCCAGCTGGGTTGAGGATTATTTTTTGTTGATTTGTTGGTGTTATTCTTGTTTCCATCTGCCAACCTTAGATTTTCCCTCAATTCCTTGCAACTAATTCCCTTGGATTTTGCCCCCCAATGGGTTGGTTTGGCTCCTGATGACCCAAAATTCTTATGTTACTAGAAACCAGGATCTTGGTCACAGGGGCGATTCACTAGAAAAAAATCTGATTTCCCAAGATCTTACTTCTTAATTACATTTCTTTGAGCAAAACCTATTGTGAATTATGTTCAAACCCATCAATAGGGGAGCCTCGACTAATGGAAACCCTCAATTCAAGAGAGCCCTCCCCAAACCCCTTTGTTTGTTTTGGGAAAGATTTATTAACGCTTGACTTTACCTTAATAGATGTTTGGCTCTGATACCAAATTCTTATGTTACCTAGACCAGGATCTTGTCACAGGGCGATTCACTAGAAAATCTGATTCCAAGATCTACTTCTTATTACATTTCTTTGAGCAACCTATTGTGAATTATGTTCAAACTCATCAAAGGGAGCTCGACATAATGGAACCTCATTCAAGAGAGCTCCAACCTTGTGTTTGGGAAAGATTCTAACTTACTTTATTAATAGCAATAATACCTCTTTAATAGAGGTTACAATGATAAACTAGAAAATTATAAAAATAGAAGTTTAGTCTATTTAGGAATAGACTAACTAAAATCTAGGATCCTATACTAATTAGGAATCCATGGTTTATTGAATCCTATTTAAGCTAATAAACTAACTAATTAATTTCTATAATTTCCATATTTTCCATATGTCCAACATATCACAAGTAAATTTTTAGAATCCGATTGTGGATACACCAGGCTGATTGTTTCTAGTTGGGTTTTATCTCCAATAAGATATCCCTGCAATCCTCCAGCTTTGATAAGTAAGAGACAAGATATTGACCAAATAAGGTAATTAGAACCATCAAGTTTCACTGGACTTATTTGCAAAGATAGATTGTCATTAAGAAAGAATTTTTGTTTCTATTTTATTTTATTTTTGTTTCATCACCCATCACTTAACACCAACCTAATAAACAAACACTAGAAATTAAAAATAAACAGAATCGGAACCAATAGCAAATAAAAAGAGCACCAAGAAAAGAGAAAAAACAAGGTCAAAATCACAAAAAAATTATTTGCTATAACAACTGAGGTGGTTGTTTCCCTTTAGGTGTGTAAAAAAAAAAAAAGAAAATAGGTTGAGCAATAGTTAAGGGAGGTCGCTCAAGCAAAGGAAGTCCTGCGGCATAGTCGCCGGCGAAACAAGAGACTGGAAAGTCACTCACGCACTGGTGCATGTGTCAACACATGGAGGGCCTAACTACCTTTCCCCTATCCATTCCCCTAAGATACTTTATATTCTCTGAAGGCGTAATGGGCATATTACTCGATCCGTTTATTAATGAGCAGTGTATTTTTTGAAAGGAACCAAAAGAGTACAAATAGTACAAATATATGTACTTGAAAGGAACTAAAATGAAGAATTCTAAATATTTTATTTTTGAAGGAAACAATAAAAATATATGGTTACTTGGAAAGGACTACTCGATCCGTTTATTAATGAGCAGTGTATTTTTTGAAAGGAACCAAAAGAGTACAAATAGTACAAATATATGTACTTGAAAGGAACTAAAATGAAGAATTCTAAATATTTTATTTTTGAAGGAAACAATAACAAAATATATAAAACGATAAAAAGCAGGTAGAAGCCAACTTGAGGCGAGTTGGTTGAAGTATTAGGAGCAAAAGTTCCTTGTCAGATCAGGTACAGTTTTCCAAACCCAATCCGCAAGCATCCCTAACCCTTATGCAAGAACACTCATTTCGATAAAATAATCAAAAATAAAATATTCTAATGAAGCACTCAAAATCATATTTGTGATTTAACATGTATGATAATTTGATTATTGAAATATATGAAAGATAATGGCATACCTCAAGAGTGCTTCATCAATTAATTCCATTCTGTTTGTTGTTCCCACAATAAGAATATTATTTAGTTCCGTCATGCCATCAATCTGGATTGATAAAATTATAATTGTTTGAGATTCCAAAATTGAACAAGGAGGTTAAAATAGAAAATAAATAGATATATTACCATGGCTAGCAATTGGCTAACTATCCTGTCAGTCACATTCTCCATGCGAGTTGTTCCCCTTTTCTACATAAGAGTGACAAGAACAAATAGATAGATTTCATAAATTCACACTTCCTAAATTAATCTTTATGCCATAGTTCCAGCAAAATCCTAAATTAATCTCTATGCCATAGTTCCGGCAACAATATATAATATTTTACCGGAGCAATTGAATCTATTTCATCAAAGATAATGATATGAACGGGACTTTGCTCTCCTGCAAAGTGCAAACCAATAATAAATTTACATTACTTCTATTAGGGTAACTGAGTATACAAAATGCAGACACATTATTGTATAACATATACACATCATATACCATATTTTTTGAAATCCTCCCTAGCTTCACGAAACAGCTCTCTAACTTTTGATTCTGATTCACCAACCAAACTAGCCAGAAGTTGAGGCCCATCAATGACCTGCACAAGGGGTAGAAAAATTATAAGTTTCAAATCCAATTAACAATGAGGAGAAAAAAATTCCAGAATATGAGTTTTTGACATATTATAAATTTTCATTGCATCATATTGTATAAAATGCATGAGAAAAATATAGCAGCAGAACATACACCGCAAACACCACATGGCAAATTTATTCATTTATTTTTATGACAGCTAGCTACAAATTGTTAAGAGAACCTTTAGCATGCTTTTAGGACACAAACATGTAGTTCGGTTCTGAACAGAACCAAAACGTAAAAACAAAACTTTCATTTTTATTTGAAATTGAGACGCATAGAAGTAAGTTTGGAAACCAAACCATTCGGTTCCGTCTGGGTCAGAATGGTTCGATTTTAGGCGGAACTTATTTATTCTACTAACCAAAACCGATAAAGTGAACAATCGAACTAAATCTGTTCACAGCGGTTTTTAGTTTTGCGAAACTTTGCTCACTCCAGTTCATGAGTATGTATGTGCGTTGGAGAGGGACAAGAAGAAACCTTAGGTGGCTTGGCATCAATAATTTTTGCAATTGTTTTTACCAACAACGTTTTTCCAGTCCCAGGTGGCCCATAGAGAAGTATCCCCCTGATAGGAGCTATGTTTAATCTGCAGTATTAAGAAAATAATTAGAAAATGAGAGGAATAAAAGATCTATAAAGACAAGAAAATATATAAATGAAACACAGCAAATTATGATGCTTTTTCCTCAACCATTGCAGAAAATTAAATGTGGAATAAAACAGAATTCAAAACTTTATCATTACAAACGCTCGCGATCCCATAAGACGACATAATTGAAACTCAGAATTACCTCAAGAAACGCTTCAGAGAACAAATAATGTTACCTATCAATACTGGATAGATTGTTATTTAGAGGATATTTATCAAGAATTAAGATTTCCCAGCCACATTCTTGAAGTGAGATTCTAAATTCAATGGCAACTATGACAAGGATAAACTGCAAAACAAGTAGGGATACAACTGAATATGAAGATGAAGATAGCAGACAATAAGTCTCAGACCTTTTAAAAAAATAAACCCGTTTAGTCATATGAGAGAGGCAAAAGGAGAATGATTTGCAGCTAAGGTTTGAAAGAACAACAAAAGGGGAAGAGAGGCAAGCAATTCAGACTCTGAGGGAGTTCAGTGCAGAATCAAATAAATGGGGCAAAGTGCAGGTAAGACGTGTTCTGGAATCAAAATCTTCCTCAGGAAGGTGCAAAGGACTGTTTTAAGACAATATAGAAGAAGATTATAGTATTCAAGGAAACAATGGGAGCTCTCTTTTTAATACACAGCCCAGGTTAAAGAACGTGGTTCTTGGAATCAAAATCTTTCCTGCAGGAAGAGTGCAAACAGTTCAGTGCAGAATCAAATAAATGGGGCAAAGTGCAGGTAAGACGTGTTCTGGAATCAAAATCTTCCTCAGGAAGGTGCAAAGGACTGTTTTAAGACAATATAGAAGAAGATTATAGTATTCAAGGAAACAATGGGAGCTCTCTTTTTAATACACAAGCAAAGGGCTTCCTAGGTTTTATAAGAATCTTCCCAAACTATTATTAACGATAAAAAAAAAAGGTATTAACTATATCCTATATGGAAAACTATCAACTTTAAGATTCATTTCTGATATAGAAAAACTCAGATAGACTGGTCAGCATGATCGCAACAATTGTGCATGCACTATTACCAAAGGAAGAAAAGCTATTGCTAGCACTACACAGGATCGGATCAATGCATTATTCTTATTAGAAACAAGGGACTGTTTATTATTGTGGAGATGGAAAAGGTTAGAACTCTTCTAGAAAAAAAAAATTGCAATTGAAGGTACTGATGGGAGTCTTTGTTTAAAATGACAGACAACTTAATTGACTGGTATTTAAATTGTATTTTATGTAGGGAATGGGACTTATATTAAAAAGAAACAACACTGTAAGTTCATCATTGAATTTATTTGATAGAAAAGACAAATGATTTGCAAGATTGCAGATAGTTGTAGTAAGAACATGACCAAAATATGAAGCTTTACAGATAGAAGTCACCACTAGGCATCCCAGCAAGAAGCCGACTCAAACTTAAGACATGTATGTTAAATGGGACCAAAATATAAAGCTTCACAAATAAAAGTCACCAGACATTACAGTAAGGTTCCCAGCCACACGCGAAGGACTCAAACTTAAATCATGTATGTTTCATGTAAAAAGTTTTTGGAAAACATCTGAGTTCCCCAGCATTTTGGACACAACATGCTAAGAATTCATAACTTTTGTGTTTGATTACTATATTTGGATGTAAGACTTGAATTTGATTAAAATTCATCATTTGGATTGCCACATATTTAATGGATTTTGATTTGAATGAAATGCATACCAAATTCTAAAGGTTTAAACATCATCGATTTCAAATTACTTTAATATGGTAGATTTCAGATCAAATCCAAAATAAGCATTGGAAAACGGATAAATGGCACTAAATAGACTGCACCCTTCAGTAAAAGAAGTTAGAAAGGCAAAGTTTTCAGATAAAAAAATATTATTCAGAAAGAAAGAAATGAATGTACACTATGGAGGTCAAGTAATCCTCCTATAATTCAAAGAAAAAAAAAATGGCAACAAAAAACATAGAAAGGAAGTAAAGTGTAGTGCCCTCCAATTGAGTAGGATAATATTCAAAGAGACTCCTCTAGAAGCCCAAAAGTATAAACCCCCACAAACTAACAGATATGCTCTATGTTTTGAAGATTTCTCCATAGAAGACTCCTTAGGACTTTATATATATTTGTGCGTGTGTATATAAGCATAAAACCCAACAAACCTAACAGATTTTATGCCTCTAAAATGTTGAAGATTTTTTCCAATAGATAAACTCCTTAAGGGCTTATAATTTATATTGTGGCGTGTGTATATATATTACCAAGATAATTAGCTAATCCTTTTGTGGTAATTCAAAATCCTCTTTCCATTCAGCCCAAAGGTTCTAAAGAATTCTAAGAAACAACCCCATTGGGCTTCCTCCCAAAAGGGTCGGAAGTGGTGTTCCGATAAACCCTAAAGCCCACTTGATAAACCCCCACAAACTAACAGATATGCTCTATGTTTTGAAGATTTCTCCATAGAAGACTCCTTAGGGCTTTATATATATTTGTGCGTGTGTATATATATATACCAAAGAATATTAGCATCCTTTGTGTAATCAAATCCTCTTCATCAGCAAAGGTCTCTAAAGATTCTAGACAACCATTGCTCCTCCAAAGTGCTAAAGAAGAGATTCCAGATAACCCAAGCCACTTCACTGGGCAAAAACAGGTGAGAATGACGTGTAACACTCGATGCAAGGTGTTAGAGGTTGTAGAAAGGAAACACATGAACACACGCGCGGACACACAAACACATGAATACAAAAAAGGATTTTGAATTTTTTTTTTCACAGTTGGATGGTAAATAGTTATTCATATTCACAACCACAAAAATCAGGGAGCAAATGGCAGACATTAATAATATTAGACTGGAAGGAAAAAAAACAGAGATTGATTCAGTACTTTCTCTTCACTTGATGCTAAAATGGTCATGTCGGGTAAGAAAATTCAAAATTCCGCAGCAATTTGACAATTCAAATGGGTAGGAAAATAGAAAAGTGTTATTGACGCATTTGTGGACAGAAAGACAGAAAGTATACAAGACGTGTGGCACGTGAGGTGCAGAATTGATATTGCAATTTCTCACTTTTTAGTATTCTTTATGTTATTATTATTGCTAGAGTTAGTTTCCTTCTATAAGAAGGATCCTTAATAGTAGGAACTTTTATTTTTATAATAATTCTTTTTAGTAGTAGGATTCCTAATTAGTAGGAACTTCTATTTTATTATAATTCCTCATCTGCTGTACGTCTCTCTTATATAAGAGGCACACTTTTATTCAATAAAGACTCAAGCAAGATTTCTATTAATTACGAGATAAAGGTTCTCCCTACCCTAACAGAGTCTTGAGGTGGAGAACTCCCTCTAACGAGTTCTTAACTCTATATCCATCATAGGCAGAAACAAGAATAAGGGCAATTCCAAGGCCTCGGCCTTAGGAAGACCTGTGACGAGAATTTAGAAAAATGGTGAAATTCAGCGGTACTCAAACCGCTAATGAATTTCTGGACTGGCATAAATGGAGAATAAAGGGAATTTGTCATCACCTTCACACGTGGTGCAGCAATGCAACGCAAAAGACATTGCTTTAAGACAGCATCCATTATCAAGAATAAAAGCTAAGGTTCATTCTTCGTAAATGGATAACCATTTGCAAATAGGGATTTCAAGACAATTTGGAGGAAGACATTGAGAAACAGAAATAGAAGAATGTAGGCAAACTTGCATGAAACAGGAAGGAGCACAAAATAATGATAGAGCTAGATTGGTCTTAAGCAGAGACTTAGACCCAGATATTTCAAATCACTATGCAATCATCATATTACCATGATCAATCACACTTGTAACTGAAACAGAGCCATCCCAGTTGTTTAATAGAGGTGAAAGATTCAGATTGCAAGAAGATCAACAAAAGTACCCTGAGGATTTTTGCAGAATTGAAACATGGGCTCTAAAACTTTTGCAAGTGTAAGTAAACCTATAGGATAACAGGGAAATGATAGAAGACCATATATGAGAATCCAGAATTTAAGATGCACCAGGTAAGAAAAAGAGAGCATGATTATATGATATTCCTTGGCCAGTGTAGAAGAGATTCTGTTATGCCAAAATATGCTAAATGGATAAAACTATGCAATGAAAATAAAATTCTTACTCATAATTGGATGAAAACAAGATCTAGGAACAACCTATACTGATTCTGTAATAAGCAGGAAATAAATTGAAAAAAGATGCATGAAATGACAAGATTGTAAATATAACCAGGTATTAATCTTCCATGTAAGTCAAATAAGTAGCACTGAGGATCTTACCGTCGAGCTAGCTCAGGGTCAAGACTACGAATTGAAAACACCCTCTCAAATATTTCTTTAAAAATTTTTTCCATCCCACCAACTCCAAGAGCCATCAAGTCTTGCTCTATGTTAGTGAAATTTATATTTCTATGAAATATCCTTCTTGATGCTAGAGCTTGATTGAATATCTGCAGAAAATATCAATTTGAACTTGACATGATATGTCACACTATGGAAGACAAGACAAGAGAACATCTTAAGAGTTGAAAAAGAATTTATTACCTTGAGATTTTCACTCACAAAGACTATCTTAGTCTTCTTGTCAAGCATTCCTTGCCTAGAAATGGCACCATTGCTGGCCGCAATGATACGATTAACAGTGAAATTGCCAAGGAATTCACCACACCTAAATTGTATTCTTTGATTTAGATGCATCACCTGAGTTTGACAATTATCATGAGTATAAGTTAACAAATAAACTTAGAGATGCTGAGAATTTTGTTGCAAGGAATAAAGGATAAGAGGCATAAATGGCTACCACCAAAAAGCTGTGATTACAGTCAATATCCATTCATAATCAAAGTAAGAGGTGTGGAATTAAACCCTAAAAGGAAGTAATCATTACCAACACATCAAACCAACCCTAGCATCACACCAAACAAGAAGCAAAATAATTATTCTAATTAAGTTAAATAACCTCAACGTACTCTGGTAGCACGATACATCTGCAGCAATTTTCTATAGTGAAACCAAACTTATTATCTAACAGACATTCAAATTTATAGTGAAACCAACCAAATAATTCAAATTTATCATATTCTTTACAATATATGCACTAAATCAAGACAAAAATTATTGATGAAAGTTGTGTACATTATTTTGCATCAGCAATTTTCTATAGTGAAACCAAACTTATTATCTAACAGACATTCAAATTTATAGTGAAACCAACCAAATAATTCAAATTTATCATATTCTTTACAATATATGCACTAAATCAAGACAAAAATTATTGATGAAAGTTGTGTACATTATTTTGCATAAAAATGTAATGAAGTGAAATTCAGTCCACATCCATGTTCTAATACTTTTAGCAGAATTTCAATTAAGAGACCGTCTGGTTTAACTGTTCAGAGCAGCTGATGATAGCTGTGGATAAGAACGTTTAACTGATTAATATTAGTGTTTGGTAAAAATTTGATAGCAGTTCTTGTTTAAATGTAAAATAACCATTAAGGATATACTTGTTTTTATATATTATGGTGAACAATGTATATTTTATTTTTAATTTTTAAAGTAAATATATTTTTTTATCTTAATGTGTTATATAAATAAAAAAAAATACTTATTAAAATTTTTTGATATAATATTTAATAGAATTTTAGAATTTTTTTTATTTTTTTAATGAACTTAATAATAAAATTAATCATTAAAAAAATATGACTATAATAAAATTAATCATTAAAAAAATACTAATTTTATTAATAATTATTTTTATAAGGTTAATAGAGGCTAAATATAATATAAGTACAAATCAGCTACCAGCTCATATAAAAAAGCTCCAAAATGGAGGTGATGAAACCATCAGCTTTGGGACTTTCATCAGTTATCAACAACTTATTAAAATCCTTTCATCAGTTGATTTCATCAGTTATCAAATACTTACTAAAACCTTTACCAAATGCCTACAACATAGCTGTTGGGTACGAATCAGCTGAATTAAACACATCCTTAAGTCTTTACAATGTAAGGTCTAATATGTTATTTGAAGAAACATGTATTAGTTAGTTTGCTGTTAGATCCAACTAACCACAACAAATTTGGCGCCAATCTAATTGAAAATTTCATTAAGTTGGTCTAGTGAAATTTTTAGCAGATTAATTTTGTATTTAGTAGGAGAGTTGGCATGTAGGTTACATAGCAACTTAGCTTATCATGTTTTTGAAAACGTATGAAATAAAAGTATCTTGGATCCACTGTATCTCATGAGCTAATCCTGAATAGGAAAATTCTGCTACATCATTGATTCTTCCGGTTGAAATTATATAATGTTAAAAAATTATAAATTCAACGCCATGTTCAGTAAAGGTTTATGATATATTTAGAGTAAAGGTTTATTGATAATATTTAGAGGTGGAAGCAAACAAAAACCAACAAAAAATACATATTATACATACATATATATATATTATTATATATATATATATATCTATATAGAATTATATTTATATATATATATGTTTTTTCAAGCATGCATATACAGCATAACACGAGGAAGAAGAGGAGCTGAAACCTGGTCATGGAAATTCTTTAACAGCTTTTTCGCCAAGACCTCAGCATCAATCTATTGACATCAAAATATTCAATATCTAGATTAGCTTTGTATTTGAATTAACAACTAAGCTTGTTTCGAAAAGAGAAATGAAATGAGAAATATATCAATACCTCTCTGCCCTGAGGACAATCCATCTCCAGCCATACATTGAGTTCCTCAATCTTTTCAATGCCATTGGTAGCTTCAAATCTTATCATAGTAGGAAAATGAATATCACAAAGAGAAATTCATAAAACTGAAATTTACGGTTTGCTACTTACTTTTCAATAGTCACCATATTTCCTATGGCAGTGTTGGCAGACACGCACTGGTCCTCATTGAGGGCAATTTCATTCTCTCGCAGAGAACCATCTTCAGTATAAGATATTAAGGAACAATTGCACAAAAAAGTTCTTTGCCACAAATATATAAAATTAACCACCGTTTTGGATTAGATTTTGTTTGGTATAAATGAATTATTCCATGAAATTTTAAGGAATTCATTTACAAATCCATTATGTCATGTTTTGCATAAATGAAAATTCAATTAAAATAAAAAATTCTGATTCTACGGAATTGATTATGCTTGAACCAAATTTTACATTGTTTTGCATAAATGAAAATTCAATCTAAATAAAAAAATTCTGATTCTACGGAATTGATTTTGCTTGAACAAATTTCTATCAAAAACTTATAGAACCACAGACTCTAACTCTAAACTTTTTGTAAAGTGGTGGCATGCTATAATAAGAATAAGTTCTTTGCCACAAATATATAAAATTAACCACCGTTTTGGATTAGATTTTGTTTGGTATAAATGAATTATTCCATGAAATTTTAAGGAATTCATTTACAAATCCATTATGTCATGTTTTGCATAAATGAAAATTCAATTAAAATAAAAAATTCTGATTCTACGGAATTGATTATGCTTGAACCAAATTTTATCAAAACTTATAGAATCCACAGATCAACTCTAAACTTTTGTAAGTGTGCATGCTATAATAAGAATTACTTATGGATCTACTCCAAAGAGTCAGTTATGCTTGAACAGAACTCTAAACATAACAAGTAATTAATTAACTCTAATCACAAGCTCAAAAAAGTTTACTTGTAACCGAAAACTTTTAATGAAAATTCATTTGCATATAATTTCTTTTGAATAAATTTCATTTCCATAATCGATCCAACGACAAAGTGCCAAACTACAGAACGGTATAAATTTAATTTCATGACATTAAATTTTACGGGCTAAAATAAATATTTCCATTTATAAGATTTTTTTCATGGAATTTCATTTATAAACAAGAAAAAACAAGTTACGAGTACATACTTCGAAAGGATATTCCAGACTCACAACAAAATTGCCGCCATTGAGTCTTGCATAGCGAGGCTTGGAAACGCTTTTAGGGTAAAATCCAATCGGAAAGCAAGGAATTGGGCGCGGGTTTGCCCCAGATAGATATTTCAAATAAGCTTTATTGGTGTGTCTATTACCATCATGAACTGAGATGACCAACATTTTCGACTCCATGAATAATGGGGACCAAGGAGAGAGATTTCAGGAAACGGCAAAGATACTGGAAGAGAGAGAAAAGTTACAGCAGAAAAACAAGAGAGAAATCAGGAATCGCGGTTAGATACTTGGAGAGAGATAGTTGACAGATTATGAAAAGGGTATATTTGATAGAAGGCTCGCCACCCTAGGACGCCTGAACTGTGACAAACGGAATATGGTAAATTGTCAAAGACGAATAAATTTTTTAATTTATGTTATA